TCGAACTAACACAAATGTCACGCATCATGCACACAAATATGCAAACAACGTATCGACATGATTCGATCTGAACAACATGATTCAAACATAAATAAAAACAACGTTATCACACTTTATATATATATATATATATATATATATATATATATATATATATATATATATATATATATATATATATATATATATATATATATATATATATATATATATATATATATATATATATATATATATATATATATATATATATATATATATATATATATATATATATATATATATATAAACTGCTGTAAGATACATGTATTATATGTGAAACGTAAACATATGATTATCAGTAAAATAAACTACACTATGTATCTATATAATATATGCTTAGGCAAGTTAAACAAACGTGAGATATTGGAACTACCTCACACGGTACGGAAACGAAAAACCAGTGAGGAAATGTAATCAGAAAAAGATCAATGTTTACTGTTTGAAAACCTGATAAAAGTATCAATCTCTAGGAACGGTCGTGCGAGTCTCACTCTTTTTTTTCTCCTCTCAGCATCACTAATATATATATATATATATATATATATATATATATATATATATATATATATATATATATATATATATATATATATATATATATATATATATATATATATATATATATATATATATATATACACATACATGTCTTTCTAGGATTTTTAATAATTTTAAAAATTCACAAAATACCATTAGTGCTTATTTTAGGGACAAAAATAAAAAATATTAACTAAAAATAAATTAAATTAAATACCTAAAATAATTAAAATAAAATAAAAATAAAAATACCAATAATCTTATTTATTCGTTCTAAACATTTTGACAAAAATGCAAAAATAAAAAGACTCAAAGTAAATAAAAGTCGGGCGCAAAAATGTCCGAAAAATAAATTAACTGCATCAAAATTATCAGAGTGAAATAAACCTCTCAGAAATATACAACGCTTGATCTAATTTTAAAATAAAATTCCATCGCTTAAAAGACTCAGACTAATCAAAATGCGACCGAAAAAATAGTCGAAAAATTAAAACGAACATGTCAGGTTAACCTACACGAAATGTAGATCAATATAATTAACTTCTGCAAGCTCAATTTTGAAATTTTTCGTCCATTGATTATATGCATAGTTGAGATTCAGTTTAACCGGTCTGTCTGTAAATCTAAAAAATTATTCTGAATGACAATTTGGACATTATACGAGATGAAATGCATGTTATGATATGCATATGATGTTAACAATTTGACGAATTGATTTATTCGATGATTCATGATCAAAATTGGAGTATGACATTAGCTTTGAAGCATTATTTTGTTGCCTAAAACTTTCTTAGGCAAGGCCCCGTTTTTGGCTAAGCAAGCCTTGGTGCTTGAATGGTGAGTTTTGTATGTTTTAGGTGCTTTCTTGGTCCTTTTTACTCATAATTAATAAATACAAAGTTAGAAAGTTCATACATACGTTTTATCATATTTTTCTGAAAAATTGGGGTTTTTTCATTGATTAATTGCAAAAGAAGTTAATAAGTGCTTATGGATTTTACTTATTTTTAGCACTTATCAGGCGTCATAGATGGAGGCTGGAGAAGTCAAACTATAGACAAATTCCCAGATAATGGTCTATTAGGTTAAGGGGATGCACAAGCCAAAGATCCATAATTGCAAAAGAATGTGGATATTATTAAAAAGAAACTAAGCGCATTCAAGGAATATGAGATTGCACATATGCGAAGGAAGAAGAATATATGGGTGAATGTCCTATCAAAGTTGGCAAGCACAAGAATCACATATATTAACCATTCTTTCATCCAAGAAACACTTGGAACACCCTATCTTTCTACAACGACCACTATGGTAGTTGTGGCAACAAAAACGACAGGACCATCATGGATCATATTGATCATGACATATATTGAGAATGGAACTCTAAAAACAATCCCCATCAAAGCCAATCTTGTTAAAAGAAAAGCATACTCATACTCGATTATAGGGGGAAATTATACAAAAGAGGTATACGTGCACACTTTGTAAGAGAGGGGCGAGAAAGTAATATTTGTCGTTGAAGTTCTAGAAGCTATCCATGTACACTTAATAAATCATGCGACTATGCTTCAAGAAGATAAACCCTTGATGATGGCCATGATTAGTAGACTTCATCAAACATGAAATAGACGAAATAAGTATACCAACATATGTAACTTATTATGGTACTCTCACCAGTACTGGAAAAATCTTCAAATACGCCTAACTTATGGTATGCAGTTTTGAATAAAAAATTCATAGATGATATATATTTTCAACTCCAAAATTATCAAATGGAAGATTGACCCTCCATTCAAGAGAAAAAAAACACTCATACATGGTAATTTCACACATCATTTTGAATAACGTCATTTTCCAGTTTGACGATGGTCTCATATCTTGGTATGCAATTTCCATTTTATCTGTGATTGAGTCTAAGAATAAGATTTATATGACCTCTTTATCTATGTATGGATAACCATTAGCATTAGAAGGAAATTTTAGAGTTAGTGGTAACACTTTCTTCACCGTAACTTATTTAGTGTTCAAATAAAAATGGCTACTATAAGTCATACAACTTGACCTCTCATCGAACCACAATCTCACTTCATCCTTAATAACATTACAAGTTAACTAGATTTATTAACTTATAAAAATCTTATATGCTTATGGGTCTTAAGATTTTAAACAATAATGGGGTTAGTCATCTTGCTTTCTTTGAAATTAAAACCTAACTTTAGTTGCCTCAGTTCAATATGAGTGAGATAAGGTTCCTTATCCCTAGGATTGAACACCAGTTATTCAATGCTAGAATTAGCATAACTAAATTCTACGTCACTAAGATCTACAAACGTGATTCCTAAATCCAGGTTTCCTGGATTCAACATATTCAAACACGATTAAAACTCTGAAATGAACAAAGGAAGAAATAGATTACCTTATTTTTTTAATGCAGGTTCCCGAAGAATGCAAGATGAAATGTCTGATGATTAGAGAAAAAATCCAAATTCTAGAAACCCTAATAACACAAAAGTGACTAACCAATAATGCTCTCTCTGATTTCACTTGAGAAATGTAGAAAAAGTCTAAAAGTTGAAAAATAATCCCAAGTTCATGCTTTATAGGAACAACGAATATCCACATCAACGATCATGATTTGCTAGAAGGTCAAAGCCCAGATCCAACAATTTAGATGTGTTTCGGTCGGCCTCAAGTTTGTGGACCACTACATCTACAAGGTATTATATACTCTCAGTATGAGAATTCGCCACAATTTTCCATTGAAAAAGGTGTATCGTTAAATTAAGGAGTGTAAATGTTGTATATAATCTTTCATTTTCCTCGATTCCCAAGAAATATAGGACTTTTAGGTGTACCAAAAATGTTTCCCCCGATAAAGGCCAAAGGGCTAAAGGTTTCGAACCATGAGCACGTGGGTCCACACTTCCTTCAAGCGTCAAATTTGTTGGCCGACCTAAATTTCGCTGACTACTGCGTCTACAATGTATTGTTCGCTTTGGATCGGGGAATGCGTCACAACGTTGTCATTTGAAAAAAATGCCTCATTAAATTTAGGAGTGTGAGTATTGCATATAAAATACCATTGGCCTCGATTCTCAAGTAATGTGAGACCTTAAGGTGTATCGGAATAAGACAAATTCTTGGAACAATGAGAGCACTTGAGTATGCTCAAGTTGGCTAGGCGTGTCACCTTCATACCCTACGCGTGTGGAGGCATATAGAAGCCATCGTTATAATAACATTTTGTCTGAAGAATGTGCATTTAATGTGCGTGTTCCCTTTACCAATTACGTCCATTCAATACCACAACAAAATACTTCTTTACTAGTTTCCATTCTCAACAAATAAATTTTTTCGATAGTTCAAATTCCAAAGCTAACCTCACTAGCTTCTACATAAACAATTCTTTCTTCAAAGATGATATCAAGTATTTAAGGGTATCTATTTTGGACTATCGAATGACCCGTGAAGGTCAGACTAATCTACAGGCTCAATCTAATAAATGCGCGTCAATCACTAATGATCGGATAAACTTTCATCCACATGCTTTGTACACAACCACTCCATTCAATTTCATCTAGATCGTTAATATGCATCAAACGATGGTTCTTCCGTAGTCTACACTAGAGAAACAGAAGACAATTATAATTGTCACCTCTATATATGTGTAACCATGAGTCACACTCTAATAACTTTTTTACTTATATTTGCAAAATTTCACCTCATTCATATGTACTGATTTGAGAGTTAGAGTAATAACCTTCTTGCAAGTACCCTATTTAATTATTTGAGAACTATAACTACCGCATCAGAAGTTTAATTGTTGCAGTCATCTTCACCCTTACATCCATTTTCGAATGGATAAAAAAATAGATAATTGGTTTCAAAATCACACATTGTGGATAGAAAAAATTGCTTGTGAGGAGAAATCATCTTACTTATGGTGGCCATCTAAATTTTTTGACAAAATTTAATTATCGGGCATCAGCGAGTACTTCACATTAAATATAAAAATAAAAATAAAAATCATTGAAGATTGTAAAAGTCTCTTCTTCTTTTATAACAATTTATGCATACTTCACATTAAATATAAAAATAAAAATAAAAATCATTGAAGGTTGTAAAGGTCTCTTCTTCTTTTATAACAATTTATCCATAAAATTTGTTAGAAGTCAAGTCACTCTCATATTATGATGAACAAAAACTTATATGAGTTGTTTCTAAAAGAAAAAAAATAAATAAGTAACAATAATATTAAAATACATGGTTCCTTGCAGGCTAGCTAATAATTAATATTCAATATCTTAGTCTCACTCAAGTCTATAAATAGTAAAATCCATATATCATATTCTTTACCCTATATATATGTTTCCGTCTCCTATACTCTATAAGCAATATCACTATAGTTTAGTGTTCGTGAGATGATGAATTCATGTCAATTATTGTGTGAACTTCAAGTTCAACCCCACGTGCCAAAGAGTTTCATATGGCCAAAAGAGTATCTAGAGCATGCTCATCAAGAACTCCAAGCACCAGTGGTGGATCTTGAAGGGTTTCTCAATGGAGACAATGAATCCACACAATATGCATCTAGTCTCATAAATGAGGCTTGTTTGAACCATGGTTTTTTCCAAGTGATTAACCATGGTGTTGATCCAGTTCTCATTGCGCAAGCTTATGATCAAATGGATACTATTTTTAAACTTCCAACTCATAGGAAAGTGAGTGCTTATAAAGTGCCTGGGTCAATGTGGGGATACTCTGGTGCTCATGCTCATCGTTTTTCTTCTAAACTTCCATGGAAGGAAACTTTCTCTTTCCCTTATTATGTTGATGACTTTGAGCCTGTGGTTGCTAACTACTTCACATCTACCTTAGGGGGTGATTTTCAACAAGCTGGGTAAGACTATGATTCATCATTTTTATTTTATACCTCATGCTAAAAAAAATCAACAACTAAAATTTTATAATCTTAAACCGAATATCCTCTACACGATCATCTTATTTATCCTCCATATATGTTAAAATTATAATAAATAAAATTACAAGGTCCAATTAAGCAAAAAATACCTGGATCATCTTATATATCCAAACTTATTATGTAGTAATTAATAACTCACATTGTATATTAGAATTTTGTTAAAAGAGGGACGATAAATTTTTATAAAAAGTTTATATTTAAAACATTTGTGCTCTCCTCTAAATTTTAGTTTAAATTTCGCGTGTGTTAACAATTCATGCGTTTACAAAATTTTGTTCAAATTTAATTGAATTTCTTGTTGATGAATAATGAAATTGATTTTCGAAATTAATTGATCAAATAACTTATGTAGAATAACAAATAAAAAGAAAAAAGACAATAAAAAAAGGACAGATGCAATAATTTAATGAAATGACATCCCATAAATCAGATTGAGTAACGGCTTGATTAAATAAATTGTTATAAAGTTTTATTGCATATATTTATAATTAAATCCATAGAATATCTATAATTAAAAGTTAAAAATATATCATTTTAAAAGAATTTATATGATTAGGCTGAAATCATGCTAATAATACTTTTTCGGATTATAATTGATTATATATTTGATAGATTTTATTTTTGATAGATACTGCACTGCAGTCTTAAAAAAATTAATATATTTATATGAATGGGCTTGTCTTTTCATGGAATTAAAAAGCCAAACCGCGTGATCGAAAAACATCACTAACTATATAAAAAAATTCATTAATTACAAATATTACTATTTATTTATTAACCTATTTAATCAACTCGTTGTAATTATTGTATGAATTTTCCCAGTGTGACATTCGAGAAGTACTGTAAGTCAATGAAAGAGTTGGGAATGAAGCTAACAGAGCTATTGGCAATAAGCTTAGGAGTGAATGATCGATTGCATTACAGGGAATTGTTTGAAGAAGGTTGTTCCATTATGAGATGTAACAATTATCCATGTTGCCAGCAACCTAGTCTTGTCCTTGGGACAGGACCTCATTGTGATCCAACTTCTTTAACACTGCTTCATCAAGATCAAGTTGGAGGTCTTCAGGTTTTTGTTGATGATAAGTGGCACACGGTTCGACCCCTTCCTAACGCTCTCGTTGTTAACATTGGTGATACTTTTACGGTAAGTAATTATCTAAATTCTTAGAACAACTTTAACGCATAGTTGTTAAACCAAAATTTTGTATAGCTTACGTCAACGTAAAGAATGTGCATTATAGTAGAGCTGACATGGCATATGGGATGCTCTAAAATTAGTTTACGTGCTCTACACGTACTCTAACTCATTATTTAACATAAATAATAGATTTTTATTAATTATTTAACATAAAAAATATATTTTTATTAACCATTTAATATCAAGTTTGAATTCCTTATAAACAATCCCCATTGAAGTAAAAACTTCTTAATTCAATTTTGGATTGCTTAAATCTTTCGTGTCAATTTGGACCCACGTAAAATAACTTAGTTCATTCAATTTAGTTGTTTCATTAAAGATAGTAATGTTTCTTTCATTATCTTTTATAAGTTAATTTTGATTTTTAAATTTATTGGATAAATAATTTGTGTTGTTAATATATAGTTTAAACAGGTCCCACTACATATACCATCTAATGACACAACAGAAATCAATATAAGACTAGATTAGACAAGATATTATGATATAAATATATTTGGTGTGTTGTGTAGGCATTATCAAATGGAAGGTACAAGAGTTGCCTCCATAGGGCAGTGGTTAATCAGCACAAACAGAGAAGGTCCTTAGCTTTCTTTCTGTGTCCCAAAGAAGATAAGGTGGTGAGACCCCCTCAAGATATTATTAGCAGAGATGGGACCAAACTGTATCCTGATTTTACATGGTCACAATTGCTTCATTTCACTCAAAATTATTACAGAGCAGATGAATCCACACTCTCAAACTTCACCAACTGGTTGATATCTTCCAAACCACAAATTTAATCCTCAAATAGCTTGTGTTTATGTTACTTTATTTTTCTGTACAAGAGATTCATGCACAATCTCTCATTTAAATTCTCTCTGTTGTTTTCCTACATTCCAAAACTTTCTACATTTTATTATGCCATTTAATTCCACTACTATTCAATATGTATTGCATTTTAAATTTTTTTATTTCTTGTACTTTGGTTATTTATATATGTTTTGACATTAAAAAAATTGCATGTATTTATTTTATTGTTTTTCTATGATATATTTCAACAGTTTCTTTTTAAATGCAAAGGCTTTGTATTTCTTTTGTTATTCATAAAACTTTAATATAATATTAACAAATATTTTGTCAACAAAAATTTTAAACTAACAATTGGAAAGAGATCAATAAGTAGAATGAGATGATAAATACTCCCTCCAATAAGTGTTATTTTTTAAATATTTTTTTTTAATTATCACTTGTAAAGTTTACGGTAGTATTAAATTTATTTTTGTTAAAATTATTTTTAAATAATTATTATAAAAAAAGAAAAAGTAAAATAAATATAATAAATAATTAAAAATATTATAAATAAAAGGATAATTATTGTATGAAAAATAATAATATTAATTAAATTTCTTAGTACACGTAAAAAAATTAAAAAAATGTCACTTAAAAAGAAAGGAATAGAATAGTTATTACATCAATATAATTTATGTTGAGGTGAGGGAATAAATATGAGAAGTAGGCATAGCAGTGTGAGGCGGAAGTGAACTTAAGAATTATCAATTTTCTCGTTGTCCCATATATATATATATTAGTCTCAAATTTATTTTAATCTTTTAACTTAACAAAATTTCATATTGCTTCTTTAATTCTCAAAGTATATTATGTTAATCCATTTATTTAATTAGAGACGAATTTAACAATTGATTTTAGAGTTTTTTTCATTGTTAATTAGAAGAAAAGAACAAACATGATACGCTTTGAAGATATAAGGGATGGATATGCAAATTTTATTAAGTTAAATGACTAAAATGAACCCTCGAGATTAACTTACGAGATCAAATATAATATTAAACCTTTTTTAAAATACACATTTTTTCTATATGAATAAAAATAAATTATTAACTTAAATATTTAGTAATTTTAATAATAACGATAATATTGTGTCATTTTTGTTTAATCTATATTTAAAAGAATAATAATAATTCTAATAAATTTTCTATCTTATGATTAAAAAAAAATGGGTAGTACAATTATTAAAAAAGAAAAATAATAAAATTAATTTAATAAGTTGGTGAGGGGGTGGGGGCGGGGGCGAGGGTTTGTGCGGGGCGAGTACTAACCGTTGTGATATATAACCCAAGTTATTAGTTAGTTAGTTGTTTAGAATATAAGTTATCTGAAGTGGAAGTAACTTACTTATATATAAACACACCAGTGTAATTCAATTTTATAATTCAATAGTATAATTCTTCTCTCTCTCTCTCATTTCTTTCCCACCCAAAGCGCTTTTGCACTAACAAGTTAGTACCTAGAGCTTTTGGTTCATCATTCTTGATCAGAAATTAAATAGTTGCACGTCGGTGGTCGTGTTTCTAGGGATCGTGAATCGTATTCGCTGCAAAGATGAATGGTAGTAATGGTATTCATAATTCTCTTCTAATTCTTGATGTCAAAAATTGGATCCGATGGAGAAAACAGATGCAATCATTGTTTAATTTTCATGAAACTCTAGAATTTGTTACTAATGGCGTTTTTGAGCTTGTTAACTGTTTGAAACAGTTTAATAGGGGGTTTTGTATAACGTCTCCACATGGATTGTAGTGATATCGTTTGTCGTTCTGCAATTTATAATGTTTTAATTAAGGTTTTTAAAGTTTATTTGTTTTGGATCATTAGTTTGTCACAATTTTTATAGCAAAGATTTAAATTCTAAAGATGTTTGTTTAACAAGATATATCAAAGATAGATTTCATCAACCTAACTTGTATATATTCGATTAATCAAGCATGTGAACTCGTTTCCGATTAATACAATCATGCATCCTCTCAATACCGTCTATGTCTAAAGCAGTATCGTGAATATTATTGTATTCGTCATTAGATGATGTCTCATGCTAGCAACAAATACAATAATCTTTAAGAACAACACAAAATAAATATCAACTCAAAAATCTATGTCTAGAGTTTGTTTGTTGATAGATGAATATTTTAGATCAAGGTTTGTAAAATCTATGTCTAGATTGATACAAATCATAAATGGATCTTTAAAAATAAAATAAAAATTTAACATATATTAATCATTCACTTGTTGACATACAAATAGATCAAAAAAAATACATACAAGTTAAGATAGACTACTTCTACCTTTGATACAAATGATTTAGCTACCCATTGTCCTGGTAGCTTGCTTTACAAGAAAAAGAAGAAGATGAAAGAGCATCCAAGATGAAGAATCGATCTAGGATGCGAATCCAGCTTTAACTTGCAAAATATCACTTCTTGATGAAGAAATGATGATCTTAGGGTTTTTTCTCCCAACCCAATGTTTTTCTCTCTGAAAAATGATGTTTCCAAGTTATGATCCCCAAAAAGTTGAAAAAGCACATAAATATCTTTTCAGAATTTGTCTTGTTCGCACTGCAAACTCCATTTATAGGCACTTAAAGTGCCTTTTAGCAGTTAAATCGCCCCTGAGGTTTCCTTGACTTTGCACTGTCAAGCTCTATTCGTATTGCGAACTTACTCACTCATACCTCACACTGCCATCAGCAAGGGGTTTAGCCACCGCCATCCTGAATTTCCAGTTCGTTGTGCTTTCACTTTGAGCTCTCTACTGCTTCGCACAGCAAACATGCTAGATTCTTCCTCATTTCTTTGGCTTCCTTGTCCATTCAATTGTGCCTTATTCTTTGATAATCCAACCTATTTCCTACACAATAGCACATATATCAAGGCATCCAAAGGTAAAATCAATTATCTTGAAGAATCACACAAGAACATGGAATAATTTAATTGAAACTTGAGAAATGAGTTGAAAAATACCAAGAATCCTGGATCAAAATAAGACATATTTGGCATTCAACAAACTCTACCCAACTAGATTTTTGCTTGTCCTCAAGCAAAGCGCGCCCCTCATGACAACAAGAGGATTTTCTCAAGCATAGATTCAATCAAGAAAACATTTTTGGTTCAAATTCAACATAAGAATGCAGACAAGTAATGATCACAACTTCCTAGAATCAACAATGAAAAATAATTTAGTTCTAAAACAAATATCATGCAATGTTTCACAAAACAACTAAACTCATGTTTGAATCAATCTAACACTCCTCTTCAATTAATGGATGAAGGAAATTACGTGTTTGCAACCGCGAGACAATTACACTCAACTGAAAAACAATGCTAACACAATTTAATTCATACATTCATCAATCAATCAAATCAGACATTATGGAAGCAAAATATCACTAAGGGCTTTCAAGGTTGTAGCTTGGTTAGGTTCACAACAAAGGGTCATTTCTAAAGGTCATTGAATCAAAATTGCTAATGTAAAAGATGCATTCACTATACAAGTTATTTACACATTATAACTTCATTCACCAATCCCTTTTTTCAATTGCTCACCTTTTCAAACTCCCATTTGCACAATTATTTACATTCTCTAATTTTTTTTTCTTTAAAACAAGCATTTTTTTCTTTTCTTTTTCACATTCATATTCACAATGTTTTATTTTCTTTGCTTGTTTGAAGTATTTCACAATTTGGAACAACCTACTACTTTTATTTCCTTCTCCCCAACTTGAATGCCATTAAACCCCAAGTGAATACTCCTTGCGTTTTATGGCAATGAAATCAATTTAGAACCAAGTTCAAAAGTTTCAAGAAAATTTTTTAGAACCTCACAAATTTCAATGATGAACTAAGCTTTTAGATTATGTACAAACACCAAGTTCATCACTAAGATTGAGATCTAATCTATTAGACTCAAAGGGGTTAACAAATTCTCACTACTCACAGGTAAGTTACTTTTGGATATGGTTGTGCTCAATATAAAAAAATTCCTTGATCCTTTCTAATGTTTCCACAAAATCACAATAATCAAAAGATTAGTTATGAATAGAATGAATTAAACAGATTTATCAGTTATCCAAGCATTTAGTAAACAATTGAGGTTTCTCACAATTTGTGGCTTTTGGACCTAAGTGACTCAAGTATTCAAATAAGTTGTAAAAATGAAAAAAGAGTACAAATTTATACAAAGCACAAAATTCTTAATCATTCTACAGTTATAGAAAGCGATAACCATGTACCTTGCATGCATTCATCACATTAAAAATCTTATCATCACCATCCAATCTTGGAAGAAACTTCGTTGGATACTTTTTTCAAAAGAGCAACCAATCTAGAAGTTCAATCACTAAACATCAAGGAAGAGGCATGAAAAATCAAAACAAATAAAAACCATAAAAAAAACTAAAATTAAACATTCATTAACTGAAAGCTTCAACTCATAAAAATAAACTGTCATGGTGTAAAACACCTACAAAAGTACCCAAAAGTGGTACATAGTACATCAAAATAATCCAACTACAAGGATAATGTACAACAAAAAACTCAAATACAATAATATCAAAATAAAGCAAGGACCAAAGCATCACATAAAATTTCACTTTGTAGAACACAAGGAAGTAAGCTAAAGATCATGCTCAAAAACACCAATCAGATTAATCCGCATCAGAATCAGACTTTATCTCCTCAGCATCACTGTCACCCTCCTCATCTTCATCCTCAGCATCTTCAACATCAGTTACACCACCCGCCTCCTCTCGAGAAAATGTCTTGGCCTTAGGCCAACCAGCATGTGCTAGGAACTGCTCCTTAGACATGATAAAATGATCTACAGTGGGCTCGCAGTGCTGTAACGGTAAAAGCTGCATAGAATCATGAATGGAAATCATAGCCCGCTGGGTAGCTTGCATTCAGTCTTAGTTATAGTTGCAAACCTCCCTCTGATCCAGGTCAAA